ATGTGTAATGTAAGGATAAACCTTTCAGAAATCTATATTTATGTGTAATGTAAGGATAAACCTTTCAGAAATCTTTATTATGTGTAATGTAAGGTTAAACCTTTCAGAAATATTTGTTACGTGTAATGTAAGGTTAAACCTTTCAGAAATATTTATGTGTAATGTAAGGTTAAGCCATTCAGAAATTTTTGTTACATAGATTGTTTTTATATTCCTTACAGGCTGGAACTAAATATGGAACTACCACAGGGAGAGTTAGGATCAGTGGGAACAAGTACAGCTGCCTCTACAGAACAGGTGAAACTGTTGAATGTCATAATAGTTTCCTTGATATGACTATATAAATTTGTTTGTTTGTTGAATTTTATGCAAAGCTACCTTTTTTATATTTTATTATTACTTATTTACTTGCATTTCTTTTACCTTTGGTTTATTATATAATGTACATCTCTATTCATAACACATATTTATTTATAGCAATTAGATATATTTAAATGTCAGGAAATGTTTATTAATGTGTCGACATTGAGCTCTGTCATTATGAAAACTAAGTTGTTTTTTCAGTTACTGAATGTACTAATAAGTCAATTACTTTATGCAGCACACCTCTTCTGTCATTACTAGGACTAATTTCAAGTTGTTGTTTTTTTGGCTAAGTTAAGAATCCCTCTCTAGATTTTAGTTCTAAAAATCCACAAGTAAGAATCCACTTTCCTTTTTAATTAATGTTTTGCATTACATAAACTTTTAAAGTAGTAAATCTGGTTGTTTAAATGTAAAGGTTAAAAATCATTACAGCTGTTTGAATGCGAATTACACACACACACACACACATCTAAGTGAAATCCATAATTTAAAGTAACTTGTGAACTTTTTCCTAAAACACTTGGATGAAGCTCTGAAATGGCCAAATTAAAGTCCAAATCAGATAATAAACAGCACATTATCAGTGGCATATCAAGATCTTTATAGATAGCTCTCAACTAAGGTTGTTTGGGGAGTGAAAAGTATATCCCATCTAGTGGGGCTGGTGGTGATAAGTACTGGCTGGTATAACTTGTACGAGTAGTGATTAATCAAAAGTTCCAATCTACATTTATGTGGAAAGTGGTGCCCATATAAAATCTTGTACAAAGAACATACTAGTTTACAACAGATTAAAGTAGCTAAACTTGACATTTCCACATCATTATATGTAAGTATTCTCGGTACGTTTCTGATCTAAATAACAATCATATAGTAACTACGTTTCTAAAGATTACTTCGTAGACCTACATTTTTTTTAGAATTTTGATTATGGAGTATGCAATGCTCAATGAGAGTATGAAAAAGTGTATAGACATTATTAGTAGTTGTGTACAAATATCCTATATTTGTATCATATGAATCAATTAATATGGGATTCATATCAATTATCTTAGTTGTTTCTCAACTTCCTCTTCTTATAAAGTATCGATTATTAAATGATGCAAGAAGGGAGTGTAAGCCTATAGGATAGACTGGTCATTTGTGGGCTTTGCTTAAGGTGGATGTAGTCGACTTAGTGAGTTGCATTTTAAATACAAGTTCACAAAATTCAGAACTGCAAAATGTGTGTTTTACTTATTTTTACAACCAGAGGCATGATACCTAGGTATATATATATCAATTCTGGTCAATACGTGACATTATGAAACAATCAATGTGAGATTCATGTCGATTCTCCTAAAAGTTAATTGTAACTTATTTTCCAAGCCCCATGCTTCCATTGGAACAACTTTCCTTCCTTCCTCATTGTTGCCATTGGAAATACTTTCTTCCTCATTGCTGCCATTGGAACTACTTTCCTTCCTCCCTCATTGTTGCCATTGGAACTACTTTCTTCCTCATTGCTACCATTGGAACTACTTTCCTTCCTCCCTCATTGTTGCCATTGAAACTACTTTCCTCCCTCATTGCTACCGTTGGAACTACTTTCCTTCCTCCCTCATTGTTGCCATTGGAACTACTTCCTTCCTCATTGCTGCTATTGTAACTAGTTCCTCGCTCAACATCTGTTTTTTGCCAAAGATATATCTTTCATCACCATAGCCTTCACTATTAGTATGAGGATTTTGCTTTAGAATGGTTTATAATGTAGTTTTTGGAACCCATTGTTGTCCTCAAAGCTCTTCTAGTTTTTTTTTTTGCTTCTAAGGAGAACATCTAAGGCTTCCTTCTTTAAAATGTAGTGTTTTTTGCTATGTATCATTTAACAGTCTTGGTACATGAGTATCCTTCCTTTAAAATGGCAGTGAAGTATCTATTTAGACATAAGTCTACCAGTGGCAGCAATGGTGCATTGAATGATTGAGAACTCACCATGAACCAGATGTAAAGGGTGCTAAACTTGTTACTACAGATCATATTTGTGGAGCCATGCTACTGAACACAATTAGTCTGTATAAAGTGTGATTAAACCTCTGTTTTAACCATTTTTCATCTTCCATTAAGCATATATTATTAAAATATTCAACTTGAAAGTGGGGTATTCACTTTGTATTCAGGTACAAATCATGTGAGTCTATAGGCAAGACCATTTGTTAGTCTCTAAAGGACTGAAGGGTGAGCCTTTCTTATGAGTCTATAGGCAAGACCATTTGTTAGTCCATAAAGGACTGAAGGGTGAGCCTTTCTTATGAATCTATAGGCAAGACCATTTGTTAGTCCCTAAAGGACTGAAGGGTGAGCCTTTCTTATGAGTCTATAGGCAAGACCATTTGTTAGTCCCTAAAGGACTGAAGAGGTGAGCTTTCTTATGAGTCTATAGGCAAGACCATTTGTTAGTCCCTAAAGGACTGAAGAGTGAGCTTTTCTTATGAGTCTATAGGCAAGACCATTTGTTAGTCCCTAAAGGACTGAAGAGTGAGCTTTTCTTATGAGTCTATAGGCAAGACCATTTGTTAGTCCCTAAAGGACTGAAGAGTGAGCTTTTCTTACAACAAATGTCATTGACTCAGTACGCTTCATTTTGAAGGGAGGTTCAGAAAATTCAGAATTACAAAATGTTTGTTAGTTCTTTACAACTAGAGGCCAGTGTTGTAGGTCTCGAGACCACACTTAGAAGGTCTCTGTTTTGGTGTTTTACAGGTTTCAAAAAATGAGACCGTCTAAATTTAAAAGTTTTAATAGAATTAGACCAGGCTCCTACCCAGAATTATTAGGTGCTAAACCTAATTATTAGGTGATTAAGCAGCAGTTCATACGAGGCACAGTGTAGCAACAAAAATGTTTTACTCGTAAAACCACTTTGGTACTACATCTTTATAATGATGTTTATAACACCTCTTTTATTTTTGTTTACATCAGCAACTGCCATATTGCCTGTATGCCAATCCGTGGTTATAATGTGTTATTCAAAACTAACTGCTACTATACTTTACATTATGAGTAGGCTTACTACAAGCTTGTATAAACTTCATCTGGTGCACATATTTATGTCAAACGATTATCCCTGATATTCAACATGTCTGGTAGATCTGTTGTGATCCTGTTTGACTTCAAAGATCATAAAGAATTTACTGACACCAATCCTGGTTTTAGTTTCATTTGCTGACCTCTATGATTTTTTTTATATTGATTCATTAAATTGTTTTTTTTTTTCATAGGAGGAGACGTTAAAACAAAGACTGGGGTTAACATCGAAAAGATTTGTGGTTAAGATGTTAATAAAGTTTGTTTAATGCATGTGATTTTTATTCTTCTTGCTTTATTTTTCATTGTGTAATTTATTACAATGTCTCAGTCTTGGTCTCGACCTCTAAGGTCTCGGGTCTTGGACATTGAGGTCTCAACTACAACACTGCTAGGGACCTGCCATTTGAATATGTCAATCTGTCATAATTATATTTTCCTTGCCATGTTCAATCCATTCTTGAGCTCTGTACCAGCTTTAAGGCTATAACATTTTATGTTTAATAACCACATTATATCTTTGTTAATATGAATAAGAAAGGAACAGGCAATTATTTCCCGGGGATAAGTAATGTAGAAACAGCGAAAAAAAGGTTATTGTAACATGTAGGTATAGCTTATTACTGATGTAGAAAATTACATGTCAAAGAACCATACCAACTACTAGAACTCTAAACACATTAAAAATAAATTCTACTTTTTTAGTGTCGAGTTTATTTTGATAGGTTAAAGTACACCACAGTATGTCCTGAAGAAAATAGGAAATTAGAAGGTTTCTGTTTTTGAACGGTAATTTTAATTTGTCACTAGACAGTTTGACAGAAAAAGAGAGGGATTTATCAAGTGATTATGTTGGATTTTGATGGATTATGTTTATTTTTTTATCTTCATATGATTTATGCTATCTTCATTTAACAATGTTATTTTATTCTTCCTTCTTTAGGATGAACTTACTCAACGATTAGCAAAGCTCCGTCAAAGCTAGGATTGAAGTGTATCAAGAAATACATTCTCTATCATCCAATAACATAAATTGCAAAATAATTGAAAAACTAAAGAAAATTTATGGATGTTAAGTTCACATGAAGTTTTTGTAAAAACAAAAAACAGTTCATGTGTATCTAAGATGTATAAAATCAAAACTAGACCCTGGTGTAAGTTATACTTGTGTATAAAACTGCCTTGGAGTTAATAGGTCAATGTAGAGTATTTTTCAATATATATTCTTTTTAATTGTAATGTGTCATTATTAAAGTTTTTATATGAAATACATAAACTTTTGTTTTGTTAATATTTTGTAATTAAAATCAATACGGTGTTTTGAGCTACTCTTATGTTTAATTGGTGCATTTTGTGCCTGTTTCAGGACTAAAACGTATTGAAATTGGCTTTAGGAATAATGTTTCAGTATATATCAGTGATTTATTTTAATAATTTTCTTATAACGGTAATGCTGAAAAGGATATACGAGCAGCATTGTTAAGCAGTAAAGTAATTGTCAAGGATGTGTTAAAGAACTAGTCCATGTTATTAAGCACTATTATGTGTAAACTGATCGTCAGGAATGGGTAATATACCCAAACCATATGTTTACTTATAGCTGTTTTATGTTGATGGATTAAACTTATTCAATTCCATTTTTTCATCTATAAAAAAAAGTTAAAAATAAAATAGTAGTATTTGTTAAGATTTTAATTAACTAGTAACTTGTCAGAAGCATAGTATTTGAGAGTTAAATTAACTGATATTAACTTCCAATCAGAGCAAGCTGTTTACTAAGTGAAACTAAAAATTAACTTATTAATCAGTCTAGATAATTTAGTATACATTTATGCTTGTAAAGACTAGAATGCATGTTTCATCGGTCGGGTATCTTCACTATTAACGATATTTTAAGGTGAATACAAAGCAAGTTTTGTAATAAACAATAAACCAAAATAATGACATTTGATAAACTAAATAGTATAATCAATCTTGTGAATGAATGTAACAATAAATAACATGCTTTACCTAGGGAACATTAGTTACCTGCTTGAAGTACTGTCTCGAAAGCTATCATAAAAATCCCATGACCTGAGTGCTTTCAAAAGATGGACTTTTCTTCTTCAGGGGCAGATTGAAGAAGAAAGGTCCACCTTTTGAAAGCACTTGGGTTACAGGGTTTTTATATTTAGACTTATTGAACCTACACGTTTTACTGACATCTTAAAAACTGTCATAATACTCTTGTGGAATTGATACATTGTGAAATAAATTCATTTGGTGGTTGTAAGTACAGATTAAAAATGTGTTCAACTAGTAATATATAATACAGGGCATCATCAGTGACAAGCATATAAGTAGAGTATTTATTATTTTTATAGAATATTCAAACTGATTCTGGAAGAAATCATATAACTATCTTTTTTTTTTACTGATTACGTTGTAAAGGTTTATCATCAGAGTTTTTACATTAAAACATTTACATTCTGTGAAGAGACATTTACCATAGAACAACTCTCTTTCCTCAAAAGTTACATTTTATTTCCAATAATTTTATCTGTGTAACATACCTCACACAACAGACGTGATATTCCTAAACTTGCACATTCTACCATTTTTTTTAATTTACTGAATTAATAATGACTATACTACTGATTTTTTTTTAGGTTTTTTTTTACTGAGTTAGCTAAAACGGAAGATTGTGTACTACTAAAGCCAAGTGAAAATTAATTCAATATACTATAGATTTTGTTGCTTAAAAAATCATTTAAAAAACAAGCCAACTTAATGTGGTTATGTATATGTCTTTGGGATAAAAACTTGGATCAGTGATTTTTTATGGTTTTTTTTTTTTAGGGGTGGGGCACTCATTTCAGTGCTGAATTTTTGTGTAACAGAGGGTTTGGGCATGTTGTAATAGATGTGTAACATGCTTAAGTTATGGATTGTTGTTGTCAGAAAATTTGAAATATGTTTTCTAAAATGAACTTCCACAAAAGTTTTTTGTTGTTGTTAATTTACGATGTTAAACATGCATTAGATACTTAAGTTTAAAAGGGAAACATTTCTGATTTATGACTAGACTGAAACAACTTTAGAACAGCAGCCAGTGTCGTCCAATTGTCAGTATAACATAAGTCTGTCTATGTGAAGGTCCTTTCTTTCTTTAAATCAATGTGGTCAATTATTTTGTAGAAAATACTAAAAGAATTATCAGAAACTTCAGCCAGTAAAATTGATATTTGACACTGCAATAATAGTCGTATACTTAATACTTTTATTCATTGTGTTGTAAAAGGGTCTGTGAGTGATTTGCATATAAATAAATAAAGATAGTTTATAAAATGCTTCATATTAGATTCAAAGACTTTTCATTTGACATGTTTTTGTAAGAATCCACCATACAGATCATAATTGAAAGTAAAGTAGGAGCTGTTCATGACTCGTCAC